GAAGCCACAATGGAGGCCTTTCCCCCCACGCCCCCCTCAGCCAGCCTGCTGGCCAAGGAGGGGGTATGACTGGGTGATGGCCCCAGCTCCTGGCTTGGGCAGAGTGAGTAAAGCTCCCATTGTGGGCTTCTCTGCGGCTGGGAGCCAAGGTGACACCCAGCCATGCCTGCTTCTCAGCTGGCCGGCTGAGGAGGGGTGCTCTACCTCCCACCGGGCTCCAAATCCCCAGCTGGGCTGTGCCTGGTGCGGGGGAGGTGGGGAAAGGAGGGGAGGTGAGGAATGTTTCCCCTCCACCCCCAATCTCTCATCAGCTGGCCTGCTGGTCAAGGAGGGGGAGTAGCTGAGTGATTGCCCTGGCTTGGGCAGGGGGAGTAAAGCCCCCACCATGAGCATCCCCGCATCTGAGAACTGGGGGGATCATCTGGCCACATCTCCTCCTCAGCTGGCAGGCTGGCTGGGAAGGGAGTGGGAGGTAAAATGCCCCCCGCTTCAGGAAAGCCCACATTGGGGACTTACTTCCTCTGCGACAGCCAGGAGCTGGGGCAATCACCCTGCCATGCCCCCATTCTGGTTGATGGGCCAGCTGAGAAGAAGTGGGGGTAAAAAGCACCCCCCCCTTCACCTGGCTCTTGACCCCTAGCTGGGCTGTGCCTGGTGCAGGGTGGGGGGAGCCCCAATTGGGGGCTATACTCCCCCCACCTGAGCCAGGAGCCGGGACAGGAAAAACACCCCCCCAGCTCTGGCCCCCCAGCCAGGCTGTGCTCAGTACAGGGAAAAGGCTACAGTGGGAGCTTTACTCCCCCCAACCCAGCTGAGAGTCAGGCTAATTTTCTTGGCCAAGGAGGGGCCAAGGCTGGGGAATCTGCCTGGCTCCTAGCTGCCAGGCCCCCCAACTCCCTCCACCCCCTTACAGCTGGAGGCAGGGCTACTCTGCTCTGCTAGGGCAGAAAGCACAGCCTAGGCCTGCACAGCATCCTGGGATGCAGGAGAACTGTCAGTTAAAATGAATCAGGAGGGGGCTAGGACAGAAGTTCCATAAACTGGTTTGACCTAAATCAGGTAAGTCTGATACTACATCCATCCAGGTTTATTTTAAATCAGTTTCAGCCATTTTCGAAATGGTTTATGTATACTGAACTTCTGTTTTGTTACAGGTTTAAACCATCACTTAAACCAGTTTGTGTGTAACTTCTGTTCCTAGCCTGAGACATGGCAGTCATACCCCCACCATGCTCACACCTCCAGTAGCCACTATCACTCTTTCTGCCTCCTTTAGGGACAAACACCTCCTTCAGAGATCTAATGCAACCCTTAACACTTAAGCAAGCCAATCTGCCTTGCCAAGCAGACCCTGGCCGCATGGAGCACCATGCACCACTTCCCACCATGCTCTCAGGTATGCTTTGCCCAATCCTGCCTGTTCTGCAATCCTGCGATCCTTTTAATGGGTATAACAAGGCGAATGCCATACAAAATAGCTTAGTTTTTTTAATGGGGTGCCACTAAATTCAGAAAAGCTATAGGGGGTGCCTTGAGCCTGAAAACATTGATAAACACAGTTCTAACCCCTACTTGAACAGGTAGACATTTGGCATCCTCTTCAGGTTTTTTTTCTAAACTGTTGTAATAAGCCAGTTCTGTTACTATTCAGGGCTTTCCCTGTCCTCTTCCTTGGGACATATGAAGTAAGAGACAAGTAGTATTATTACAGGGAAATTGGGGCACAGAAAGGTTAAGTTTCTTGCCCAAGATTTGTAGCAGGGATTAAACACAGAGCCATTATCCTGAATCCCACCTTGTTTGCTGCCTACTAAACTTTGCTTCTGCTAAACTGTGCTCTCAGAAACAAGCTCGACAGATTCTCCTCAACAGTCACTTTAGAATTAGATATTGAATTATCATTCCCTTCTCTGCAATTCTGATGTTTAAAAGGGCATACGGAAAGATGTCAGTCTGAGTAATACACAGCAAAATTAATTAGAAAATGATGTGACCACCTAGGGACCCTGGTTTTCCCTGACAAAAAAATAAAATAAAAATTACAAATTCTCTAATAAAAAACCCAAATCTGTGATAATATGAAAGGGCCCCCACAGCTCTTCTAACCCGGATGGTGCCCCTCACCACACCACACATCCCGCACAGCCTTGCTGGTGCCCCTCACTCCCCACCCACAGCTCTCTGGCCATACTCGTGCCCCTCACTCCCTCACCCCTGCTCCTGCCCCTCACTCCCCCCCCACAACCCTCCCAGTCCTGCTGGTGCCCTTTGCCCACAGCTCCACAGCTTCAGAGATCTAATGCAACCCACAGCTCCTGCTCCCCCAGCCCTGCTGAAGGGGGCCTCCAGATTCCAGGGCTATTGGGCCAGAGACCCGGGTCCACAGTCCCTGCCCCTGGCACAGGAGGTGGCAGCTGCTGCAGTAGAGCAGAGCCCAGTCCCTCCTCTGCTGCCTGCTGAGGGGTTGGGGGGCGGGGCAGCTCCCTGCCACTGAATGCACTCCCAGAGGGCAGGGGGATCTGTGCCACCCAGATCTGTGCACAGGGTGGGGGCTGGCCTGCTACGGACTCCTGCCTTGCTGCCCTCCCCCAGGGCCTGCGCAGTTCAGCGTGTGTGACCTGGCACTGCAGGGCAAAGTGGGGCTGCACAAGAAAGCTGCTTGCTGCTGAGAACTCCATGCTGCCCTGGCAATGAGTCCCTTATGGCGCAGCTACAGTGGGGGCAGTGGTGTGGGGCTGCATGCAGGGAATGCATTGCCAGGGCAGAGTGTAGCTCACAGCAGCAAGCAGCTTTCCTGTGCTGCCCCACTGTTATTTGTAGTGCTGGGTCGCACAAGCCATGGCTGCAGAGGCCCTGGGGGAAGGCAGCAGGGCGGGAGCCCAAACCTGAAGGAGGCAGCCTGTACCCATACCCACCCACACAGATCTGGCATGCAGAGGTCTTCTCTGCCTCCCAGGAGCGCATGTAGGAGTGGGGAGCAGCCCCATCACCCAACCAAGCAGCAGGAAGCCTGCCCCACCCCTGCCCTGCACACAGATCTGGGGGGCATGGTTCCCCCCCCATTCCCCCAGGAATTCATGCAGCAGTGGGGAGCCAGCCTCCCCTACCCCCCGCCCCGACATGCTGCCCATGGTCCTGTCCCACTCCCCACTGGGGCTCTGCAGTCACGCATTGTGGCCCCAGGCTCCATACACTGCCCAGTTGAACAGCAGCACCAGCCCTAGCCCTGCCCAACTCTCTCCCTCCCTCCCTTCCTCCCTCTGGGGGCCTCAATCCCTCCCCCCCCCCCCCCCCACACTTACCTGCAAGAGTTGCTCTCCAGACTGCCTGGGGGCCATGTGCACATGGTGCCCCCTGCCTCACTGCCCTCTTCCCACTCCCTCCCAGCCCCTTGCAGGCTTGAACTCTGCCAGCCCACAGAGGGCTCACTGCAAAACTGCAAAATCTGCGGGCTTCTCTGGTAAAATGAAAAATTTACGTTTGCCTCTGGTAAAAAGGTAAAATCCACCGTTTTCTCCATTTTTCCATGGGAAACGGAAAACCCAGATCCCTGATGATCATGCAGCAGAGTAAATGATAAAATATTTTAGAAAACTTTTGCTGTTTGTCCAAAGACATTGAGGAAGAAAATAAATCCCTTGAAGAAATACATTACCTATATTTACACTGATGATAATAAAGCAAGCCTGAAGTGATGTTCACTTCAGAGTGCTTTATTGCACAGTAACCATGAAGTCGGCACATACACAGAGGACTCAGCCAATGGATCCTGCTTGTTATTGCACCTGTTGCTTTATTATTCAACCAGATTGTTTAGCTTCCTAACCTGTAAACTTTCATCACACAGGCTACCCTTTCACAGTTAAACCGTGAAAACTGAAGTTTACCCAACTCTACTTCACAGGGCTTTAGCTGCGCCATCATTCAGCATTTTCAAGGGGCAAAAAAATAGAAAAGGTTTAACTTGTTACTGATATATTGATTTTGTCCGCAACATAGCCACCAAAAAGAAAGTTATATAACTACTTTCACAATGCTGTCCTAAAAATAGGAGTCACTGCTTAAACTAAATACCACTGCAATTTCTCTCTAAGACCTGGAACTGGTTGTAAGATGGGTGGAAGCACAAATATTTCCCTCACTTTAGCAGAAAGTCAAGCAGCTTCGCCTTGCAAGCCAATTGTACAAAGACATGTCTATAATTTTCCTCTGTGGGGGGAGTGAGGGGGAACCACTGTACATGTATTTCCAACTCACAACTGTTAAAATAATGCCATTTGTTCTTGCAGCTGATCCCTCATAGGGTTTCATAATCACAAACCATCATTAACCCAAAGCAGAGAGAGAGAAAGGTACAGAGAGGTACAGGTCCCAGTCAAGGATTTATTTTTTTCTCCATTTCTTGCATAATACTTCAATCAAAAAAAGGATTTTTTTTTTTAATCCATGCAATTAACTGTTTTAGCAGTCTGCTCAAACCCAAGAAATACAGACTTTTTTATATCTTGCTCACATTAATTTAGTGGTGTGCCTCTTGGAAACTTCTTATATGAAAGAAGCATGAGCATAATATAAAATACTATGAAACCAGAAGCTATTGCTTTAACATGATCAGGCACCAATTTACACTACATTGTATATAAGCTAAATAGGAATGGGTTACAACTGAGCAGTTAAGTTTTCACAAGGATTTAACTTTTGCATGTGCAGAAGCACTTAATAGGAAAGAGGCACAATCTGGTGTGACATGAATACCGGAGTCCTGCATTATGCCAATGCAATATAGGAATAAATACAATTTCTTCCCCTCTCAGTTCATTCTGCAGACTTTGAAGTTAAGGAATCCCCCCTCCCCCTCTTTCCTTCTAAACAGCAGTGGAAAAATGACAGAGTAAAAGAAAGAAGGAAATCAAGTGTTACAACATAAAGAGCAATGCCATCTAAACATCCACCTAAAACCATCACACTCTGCTTCAGATGAGTTATGATGATCTTTGTACCTGGAATAAACTGAGGGGTTTTCTTCAGTTCCCTCTGTCCTAGAGCTTATATATTCCAATGGAGTGATTAAATGTAGCCTGCTGCTGCTTTCAGTTCTTCCTTAGCCAAGCTGCTGCAGATGCCCATAAGAGCTCAATTTGAGAGAGCTGCGAATGGGGAGAGTGTGCCTTGCTTTGTAGGATCTCAGGCTTTGGTTGCAGATGTGAAAGGAGTACTGGAGACTCAGCACTGACTCTTCTAAGCCACTGCATGGGGATATTATCAAAGTCTAAGCTTTCTATTGGCTCTGATCACCAAACAAATCTCACCAGCCACCCTTACCTCCCCCCTCCCTGTTTCACTCAGCGCTTGTTTCTCATCTAGCCCACAAACATTGCAGCCACACACACTTAAGTCGCTTGCTGTGTTTCTCCTTTCCTCCCCTTCAGTTTGTGGATTTACAACCTTGTGGTTAGCTCTAACATTTTTTTTATCAGCTTTCCAATCCAAACCCTCTTGTTTATGTAGGGAACTTCTACATCTACCAACCCACAAAAAAACACTCGTTTCCTTCAGGTCTTCTTCCTCCTTTTGTTGAGAGACCTGCAATGTTAAGAATGCATGAGAGTTGTGATCGTGTGTCATGCCTGACATTCAGACACATTCGTTTTCTTGACATACATACATGCATGCATGCATACATATATATATAATTCCTGCTTTTCAAATTAAAAGCATACGGCGCCTAATTACCTGAGGGCTAAAATAGCAAATTCTTCAACTGAGGCAGGACAAAGTGCCTGTTCCCTCAATTTGGTTTGTTTGGTTGCTGTATTTGGGTTATTATCCATATTTTTGTTTATTAAATACAGTGGTTTCTAATCCACATCAAATCATGGCTTTTACACAGAAAATGAAGCTGGAATGCCAAACCTCCTCTGCATCTGGGTTTATTGAATCAGTGCAACTGCAATGGCTTCTGTTTCTTGCTGTAATTTTGCTGCTGATTGTCTCATTATTTAGAGTTGTTTAAGGTGGTTTGTGGGATAAGATTCCTTCTCACCCAGGGACTGGTTAAAATGTTAGACCTGTCTTTTGGGAGAAGTGACAGTCCTTGACTTCTGGTGTGTCCCTCTGTAACAAGTGGACAATCAACAAATAGGCCCTTTGGGTTCACTCAGTACGGGAAGATGTTGTAATATTTCTTGTAAACATGTTGGCTAATTTGCCTATGAAGATTAGGGACAACAAAATGAATCAGTTGTAGCAGATGCATCCTTAATTACTGCTGTGACATAGATTTGCTGATGATGAATTAAGTCATGTCTGTTCCTGAAGAAACACTGGTTTCCATTAAACTTTTAGCATTTATCCATAGTTACCACATAGTGCTGTCTGAATTGTTTCCCATGGCAAAAAATGCCATATGTAGCTGCCATTACCCATATAGAGCATGCCACAATGTATGAAATATAGGGAAATGGAGTGCCTGAGGTAAATGGTAAGGCAACGGACAGGGGAGAGAGGCCGGGGTGGGGAGAGGGAGAAATGGTAAACACTGAGCATTAAATGGCACCTGTTTCTGAAGTTACTCTCTTCTTCACTATAGAGTGTTCATATTATTTGTCTCTTTTGATGCACTTTTTACACTTGTATTTTATTTCTTCTTCAGACAAAAGACAAAAAAAAAAGTGCTGAAAAATATTAAAAGTTTACATGTTACAAATGTTCCTACAAAGCTTTGGTTTACTACAGATTAGTCACTGAGTTCAGTAGAGTTTCACAGGTGGACCAAAGAAAAAAATCAACAAATTAATAAAATTATTGATTTTTTTTTTTCCTTTTTCATGTCATATGGGCTACTTTCTTTTTCAGGGATGAAATCAAGCTATGGGTCAAGAGTCAAAGCTGCATTTCCAACATCTGGAAGAGTCTCATCAGCCACACATTTGGTCAGTGGCTACCACTCATATCCATGCTCCAGCTCACATATACATTTCCTTTTTATATTGAGAACAGACATACTTCCTCTTTTATATGACTGTTTCAAATTATCTTCCCTGCTATCCCTTAGTACTTTCCAGGTTACACAACAGCACTTCCCTTTGTCATCCAGAGCTTTCTTTTATTCTCTTCCACTGCAGAGATTACAGTATTATCCTCATGTGTGCACCTTCAATGTGAGCAACTAAATTTTTTACTCTTTTGTGGACCTGATGCCCTTTCCCCTCTAACCTAGACAATGCTAATCAGTAATTAAAGTAAACTTCATGACATGTGTAGCAAAATCACCTTTCAGAGCTTGGGTTGAGTCCCAGGCTTGAGATCCTGCTCTTTTGATTGGTGGAGCCCATCCACCAATCAGGAGGCAGCAAGAGAAATTAAGTCATGCCCCTTTCCTGAGGGGAGGGGGAGAAGAGTTCCCCTGGACCTGATTGAAGACTGTAAACTATCAGGTCTGGAAGACTTCTGGGGTGAAGCCCTGGAGCGTATAAAAGGAGCTGTGTGCCCAGCACGGGGGCAGATGCAGCGAGGGACTCAAGAAGAATGGAGCCAAGAAAAGCTGGGAGCTCTCCCCAATGGGCAATAGGCCCAAGGCTCTTGAAGCTGTCACTGGAGGAGCAGCCTTGCAAGTGGTATGAGACCACTCAGGCTGCTGATGGCGCATGGGACGATGCACGGAGACCCAGCCCTGGGAGTGGTGCGACACTGCTTGGGACCATCATGGAGCGTGGTTCAGTACATGGAGCCTAGGATTTGGAAGCTACAAGCAGCAGCTTGAGCCTGCAATACCAGCAAGGCCAGTGGCCACACCGTGCATGGGGCAAAGGCCTTGGGTCTGCAGTGAGGTAGCTCAGGCCCCAACTCCTGGCAAGCGGCCAGGTCCCATAGCGTGCAGGGTGGTGCCTGGTCCTGAGCCTTAGGAGTAAGGGAGCAGCAGAGGCTGCTTGGGTTAGCCACCCGGCATGAGGACGGCTGACCGGAGTCTGAAGGGCCCACCCTGTGCTAAAAGAGCCTCAGTGCTGAAGCTAGGGCACAGGGAAATAGTAGTGCTGCAGTGTGAGGCCCAGCAGCAGTGGTGCAGCAGCCCAGAGTTGGGCACAGGGTGGGGAGGAACCCAGCAGCATGGGAGAGGCCTAGAGAGGTGCTCCAGCAGAGGAGACCCCATCAAGCTGCACCCTGACCACCTCCACCACCTGAAGGAGCATGAGTCATTGGGCCGTTAGGTCCCCCAGGAGAAAGCATTTGGGGAGGGCAACCACAGAGCAGGGGCTGGGTAAGTAGCCCCCCGCCTAGTCAAGGCCTTAAGGGGCAGGGCCCCTGATGCTTCCTGGACATGCCTCCTCCCCACAAGGGACCCCATTGGAAGGAGGACTATCTCTTGCCATGGATCAGGGACTATATTAAGGAATAGATATTAATAAGATTGTTCATGTTTGCACCTTATTTTTTGTAATTGAAATGTTGTATTGTGATGTTGTAAATAGCGTTATTGAGGGTTTGACCTTGGTTATTGGTTAATGTTCACTGTGTAAATAAATATATGTATATGATATTTAGTTTTATATTTGTGTGTGTTTATAACTTAATAAATTGCATATAGTTAAGAACTTTGGGTTTGGGCTAACTCCTAGAGAGGAAAGAGGGATTTGTTTGAAATTCTGGCATGCCTCTCACAACAGCACCCCCTCCTGCCTACCCATCCCATCCAATTGAGAATAGGGCACACCATTGGGTGTGCCTGGGTTACACAGGCTATCTGATAAGATCCAATCTATACTCTACTTCCCATCTACTGGGCTTATTGTCTTTATTTAGCCTTTTACCTGATGTATGGCTTTGAGAAATGAGAAGGGCCTGAGTTTCCTATAGCAATCATAGTGGTGCTCTCCAATCTAACCTAAGAAATTCTTAGGGTAAAATGGCCTGTCAGTCGACAAGAACTTGTGTACACAGAGCTGCTTCAACGCATTGTCTATTCTATTAATGTTCTGTCCATTTCCTTCCATTTTAGCTTGCAACTTGGATTAGGACTCCTTCCACCCAAATTCATTTTAATAGCTTTTAACCTGTCTGTTTTATTTATGTCTGCTTAAGTGCTTATTTAATCTTTTCCTTTATAATTATAATGACCTTCCATAGGTTATCATAATCCTAAAAGGTATGTGGGGAATTTAAAGATTTAAAAGTCGCTTGACTTTGTAAATTTTTATTTTCTCATTATCTGGCTTATTTTTAAAGTAGAAATGCCATCCATTTATTATATTTGCTTAGTTAATCATGTTTACATTACATGCATATATACATGCCTATTCATTCAACTTACCCAGTCATAAGACTAATTTGTGCACTTGAAGATCACAAAAGGTTTATTTCCTTGGAAAGCAACTAGTGAGATGTGCCTTTTGCTGCAGTTTCTTTTCTTGATGTAGAAAAATGGACTCTCTATTACTTGGGCCTGGCCAAAACACAGAGATGTTGTACCAGCATAATTATTTTAGTTAGTACATAGTTTGGTTTTGTTTTTTTTTTTGTTTTTGTTTTTTTAAACCAAAACAGATAAACTAGTAAAACTTCTATTTTGAATGTTGCTATGCCGGTATAAAGGTGACCTATTCTAATGTATCTCATTCTCATTTATGAATAACTGTACAGTTATAAATGCACATTTATACCAACATATCCACACATGCAGGAAGTTATACTGCATTTAACTATACCAATATAGTTAATGTGTTGCAACTTTTGTTTATAAAGAAGCCCCCTAACACAAATTGGTAATTATACAAGGCATAATTCAGCAAGGTATTTAATCACATGCCTATTTAAAGTACATAAGCAGATCATTCACTACACTCTAGTTCTGAGATAACTACCAGTAGGTTTATTTTAGTCTACTACTAGTTGGCTGCCTTTCAGGGATAGCTGAGTTGTTATATAGGAAATTATCTAAATTCTTCACTGGGTAAATTGGCATAGCTTCATTGAAGTCAATGGAACTAATCATATGCTTCAGGTCAGGCACGTGCTTAAGCACCTGAATCCAACCTATAATAAATAATCTTACATTGATGATGTAGCTTCCTTCAGGACAAAAGATTACTGTGATTCCAGCAAAGAATTTAGCTCAAAGCTTATGTATAGATAAGTCAATGCCACTGAAATATAGTCATGTCTGGAGTAGAATGTGTAAGTTTGACACTAGAATACCATGCTCAAATTTAAATTGTAGTGGGAAATTTGGGGGAGGGGGGAAGGAATTAAAAACA